ATTTGTTTGAGTTACTTTGTATAATATAAAAAACTATCACTTTTAATGTAAAAAGAACCCAAAGGTGAACCAACAGATATCGATTTTCTCTGAAATACGCACTATATGGTTATAACTGGAGGCATATTGAGCTTTAAAACTGAATAAAATTGGAATGCCAGCGATATTTAACCAAGAACCTTACAGTAAGATCAACGAGATTGTCATAAAGTCTCAAATGCCGTCCAGATCATTCACAAATCTTTGAATTATAATATTGATTTAATCAATGAAGTGCTTAATAACTATGCAAGTTTTTATCCTTTAATAGGAATAAAGCAGTGGCATGGCGGATAATGTGATATTCCGGAATCATTTATTGTGAGAGCATTGCAAGTCTTTAATGATTTAATCCTTAGAAACAATAATTCAGAGCGCGAACAAATTAATGTTTTCATTACACTAGTTAAAAAGCGATTATTATCTGCTCTAATGATGAAAGTTTTGAAAAATTTAAAAACTGAGCATCAACCATTATGATTTAATAGAGAAAATTTCAACGAAAATTTAGGTATTCAAAGGGTAATAATAAGTGAAACACCGTCGCGCAATATGACCGCACTCACATAGGAGTATAAAAATTTGGCATTTTCTGAACTAGTAAAGATATTATAATAAAATTTTCTAAGACATGGTTTTTAAAATGGGCTTTCTTTTAAATGTATTTTAAACATAAATATAGGAACCTCTCCAAATTAAGGCCCAAACATGACCAACTTCTCAATTTTTTTGAATATCTGTAAAACTTTAATACCTTTACAATATAACTAAGGTTCGGAATGATTCATGGCATTATTTTTACTGCTAATCTTTTACAATTTTTAAAAATTTTTTTTTACTTTTACTGGACTATTTATAGTTATTACATATATAAAAATATAACTTCAAACAAAAAATGGAAGTGATATATTTATTAGTTCTTAAGTTATTTACAATTTCATAGAATTTTAGCGAACATTAGTTCTGCTTCAGAAAACCTTGCCTTAGGAATGCCACATCTATAAGCAGTTTTACGTTCGTACATCATTAATCTGGTGCGAATTAACACCGTAATATGAATTAATATAGATCATTTTTAAAATTAGAAAATAATTCGGAAAATATAATTTGTTATATTTTCGAATTCTACATTTCTTTCAATATGTTTTTAACATAGGTAGATAGATATATAGAATATATAGTTAATACTTATACTACTTGTATCGAATAAGCATTTTAGATAGGGAGTTGCATGACAGATATACACCTTTAGGCGAATGCCAGGTATTCACAAAGTAAATTTGTAATACTTAACTCTTCTTTTTCTGACTCTTAACTACTATAGAAGTCGCTAAGAGGACTACCTAGCCATATGGGGTCGTTTCTATGACACTAAATATCAATTACTTACATTTATAACACTTATCTCTTCTTTTTCTCACTCTCAACTACTACTGAAGCTGCTAGAGGAAGAACCTAATTATTTGGGGTCCCTACCTATGTGAGATTGAATACCAATAACTTCATTTCGCAAGTGCATATTTATTTTAAATAATTAATTTATTTCATGTTATTGAATAGAGATATCTCGGCATCACATTGGACAAACGATTCACATGGCGTAAACATGTGCAACTGAAATGAATCAGCTGTGCCAAAATTCTTCAATACCTCCAACCGCTATTTAGAAATGAAAATCTAAATGCTAAGAATAAGAAACTCATACATAACCAAATAATTCGTCCGTCACTCCTATATGGTTGTATAGCGTTTAGCAAAGCTTCAAACACTACTATTCGCCAACTAGAAATTGCAGGCTCTGAGAAGACTTTTCAAAGTTCCATCAAGATTGATCCCATCAAAAAATACATAAAGGATAGAGCCCTGAAATTATTTGCGAAATCTGACAGACTTACCAACACCGCATTATCAAATCTCAGAACGGTTACAGGCTCCTCGGGGAGGTATGCAGATCTGAGGTCAATGATTGCTTAGTCTATTGAAGTGATAAACAATAATCTAGTCAAGGCGCAAGGAGGGGTTTTGAAAAAACCTCGCAGTTAATAGAGAGTAAAAGTGCTCAAGTGCACTGTCTTAGCTAGCCTCAACATAATTTAATGAATAGAGACGTGTGAATAAAATTTTGATAATAAAACAATAAAAACGAATTTTCAGGTTTTTCAAGATTTAATAATACTAGAGAATCTCAACGATTTCATATATAAATTTAGCAAAAATCAAATGACGATAATAGCAATAACCCCTGTAAATGCAACTGAACAACAATAACAACTAAGAGAACAACAAAAACGTATGCAAAACTAATTGCAAAACTAATTTGTGACATTTTACAATAATTGTTGTCATAACATGAGCACACATCAGACTTCAGTTGCGACGTCGCTGCGGTAATTTAAGTCGAATGGAAAACAAAAAAAAGTGAAAAAACAAAAACAAAACCAAATGAAGTACATACGTATAAGCAAAGTACCAGCTTAAGTATATGCTAAAAATGAAGAAGAAAATGTGTAATACATTAACAAATTGAATTAAGTAGCTAATAACACAGCAACAACAATAACTATTACAGCAAAAATGCAAATAAATAATAACAAAAAGCGACATTCAAAACAAGAGCAGCAACAACAACAACACTACTAACAACGCCAATTACAACAATTAAATATGCGCTGAAGCATAAACATTAAACTTGCATACGTAATGAAAGAAAATGTAAAATGCAAATCCACAAAACCGCATCCAACATGAAAACAACACCACACCATACCAACGACCAAACAACAACAATGCGAAAATAAAATGAAATAAAGTAATAATTAAGTTCCACTGTAAGAAGAAGAAAAAGTAGTAGTAGTAGTAGTAGAAGAAGAAGAACAACTAAGACTAAAAGTAGAAACTGCAGTTAAGTAAACGACAATAACAAGCATAAAAACACAAATAACAATAATAACAAAAGCACATGACATAAAATAATGAAAAAGATATAAAAGAGAAATGTAAGAAAACTAAAAACAGTAATGCACTCAAAGAGAATACGCATTCTAAAAGAAGAACAAACAAAAAACAAAAAGGAAAATGAATCCAAACAAAGTGAAACCACAGCAAAGTTCTTGTAAGAGTTAAGGGGTTTCAATGGCAATTCAAATAGCAATGACATTTTCGAAAAGTTTAAAGCAAAATGAACTCAATTAAAATTTACTCATACGCCCCATAAGCTCAATCCGGCGAAAGTAAACGAAAGTTATTATGCCATATTATGACAAATATATTATACATGCTATATAGATTATCAAATATCAATACATAGTAGGTATTGTGATCATAATAATTTTGATGAGAAAGCGTTTGCAGCATTCGAAAGAAAAGTTCTTCCGAAACTCTATAGTTTCTGACCTATACCGCGACATTGACATAGTTTAGTGCATAAAAATTCAGCGGTTTCCTGGCTTGGTCATATCATGCACATGGAAAAAAGTACTCCGGCTAGAATAAAAGCAGTTAAGGACGTCTGGATCTTCTGTAGAAGGATCAGATGACCAACGATTTGGTGACGGTCGATACTACCAACTGGCGACAGCAAGCAACTGATCGGGCTGGCTGATGGAGGCTACTTGACGCGTCTAAGGACCACTCAAATTTGTAATGGCCAACTAAGTAAGTTAGTAACCTAGAGATCTGACATCAGGATTTGTTTGCCCAGCTTTGGCTTTATTCAGATATTTTTGTTTGATTGCCAGAGTAACTGTTGCAAGTGGGTTGTCAGTATATGCAAAGTGAATAGCAGGGACCAAACTGTCTTAGTAAGCTCATCTGCCATACAATTACCCGAAATATGCATGTGTCCATAAGAGTGGGACACTGACACGCCAAACAAACTAAAACTCAAAGTAATAGTATTTAAAAATATGAAATAAAAATATTGGATTTGTGTTACTTACAGTGTAAATAAAAGTAATCATCTACAAGATTCCTTTAATATATTGCTTAAATTATTTGTACATAAAAACCTCAAAATAGTTATTCATACCTTTATTATTAATGATGAACAAGGAAGAGTGGTAGAAGGCGGAAATACGAGGGGAGCGACTGTATCAGCTCATATCATATTAAAAGAAATAAACATTATATTCTCTGAATTTCATGAAGGAAATATATTTTTATAACTAAATACAAAACTGGACTAATAGGCACATGGAGCATGCATGCTCTACATGCAGTCTGTAGACCATTATGAGTAGTACTTTTGACGTCCAAGTTTAATTCGAGTGCCTTAATTTACTTATACATATAATATATATACACATTTGAACACACGTTTCGAAAGGAACTGTGGATTGCAACTTTATCCAATATTGATCACAAATTTATTTTAAAATATCATTAGTGTATACATTTCAAAAAATTTGTTTTTTATACTTATACATTCTCTCTTTTAATAAACCGTTAACTTATATATGAAAATGAAGTTAAAAGAGTTTAAATCCTATTATTTTGTTATTTGATGAAAAGAGCATTATAATTTAAAGAGAATTGTTTTTGCGCTAAAGGGTAATCGACACATTTAACATATGTATTCGGCTGTTCCAAAGACATATGCTTCAAAAATATCCTTCAAATAAATGCTTCCAGGTTTTGTCTCAAAAATGGAGGCAAAAGCTTGAGTTAATATCAGATATTTCTGTAAAAATCCATCTATTACTGACTATAATGTATTAATCATAATTATATTTAAGCACGCATGTATCAGATTTTCTTGGTAAAGGAAACTTCAATAATCATAGGTTGTAATGCAATAACAAATTAAAAACTATTTCAAGACTGCACTGTTACAATCCTAACAAATTGTGAGTTCTTCCATTTCTAAACAGTATATAGGCGCTTTTTTTTAATAATATATTTATGTATCTCATACTCAAAAAAAAAACAAAACAATATCTAAAAATAAAATTATTTTTACTTACCAAAGTCGAGTAGAAAGGTGCACTTTCCACGCCTATACTAGGATAAGGATTCTGTTCTGTAGATGGATAAGCGGTACTATAAACACCAACACCAGCCGCAGATTGTATACGACCGTAACTACTTAACGCCAAACGTGTTGGATCATACTGATAGGAACAAAAACTTTGTCCTGCTACCGATTCAGGCATTATCGTCCGACCATTATCACAGCAGGGTGGTGCAGCGGTGGTGGTATTCACATTAACCGCACATGCATAGGCAGCGGTACCACTGTCAATTGTATTGGTTGTGGCACCGGAAGATACACAAGTTGCAGATGATTGTGATGTGGGATCAGGCGTTAGCGTATCACTATGTGTACCAGCACCATCACCACTGCTAGTACTGCTGTCTGCACCAACGGAAGGAGGACTTAATGAAGGTGCATTTGAGGCGGCTGCTATTGGAGATTGCACTGCAGGGTTTGTAAGCGTTGTAAGAGAATTGCTAGACAGGAACTGCAAAAAATATAATAATAATTGTTTACAAATATATAGGAATACTTAAATTAAATTTAAAACATAAAACAGCAGATGTTTTAATATAAAATTACAAAAACTTGACTAAAAAACCTGTTTTCACTGCAAAAATTTTCTCTTAACTTTTCGTTTTTCGTTTTTGCAGTTTGCATGAAACGTGCTCGTTTCAATTTAAGCGATATTTTTTGCATAATTTTTTAAATAATTTATTTTCTTATATTTGATTCAATTAATTCATAATGAATTTTATTACCATGCAAATTGCAAATTTGCCAAGTTTATAATTAAACTCTAAAGGCGCATACAAAGGAATTCGCTGTAGCGTGAAACGGGTGACCTAACAATTTGTCTTATTTTTGCATAAAATTAATTGCATTTATAGGAAAATGTTTCGTATTTGTTTCTAATAGAGAAATTTATTATTTTGTTATTTTAACAATAAGTTTATTTTTTCATTTTATTGGTTTTTTTGTGGCAAATAATAAACATTATTTGGTAGAGATTGTTGTACCCAATTACCCTTGCGCGACAAGTGACTAGCAGCGAGTGGCACTGCAAGAGCCAATATCGTAAATCCATCACGGGTGAAAATTGTGACAGTCTTTGACAAATTTTAAGTAACTCAAAAGAAAGACCGACACCACAGCAAACGCTATCTTTTTACAGGATTTTATACGCAAAGAGGGAGTTTTTTTTTAACCTACACAAAAAAAACTTCAAATTACTTAATATAAGAATTGGTCATGCAAGGAAGTTGTTGCGGCCAATACTCAAGTAAAGGAAGGGCAGTATTCGTAAGGAAGTCATAAATTTAATAGGCATTTTATATTTACCATAGGTAGTCGACATATCATACAGGGTGTTTTGTTCATTTTATAAATAATAATATATAATACATGACAACTACAAAAACTGAGTATATGGCAGGAGTTCCTTTGTAAAGAATTCTTCAGTGAATTCTTAGTGACGTTCATATTTATCAATAAAACAGATTTCTTATTTTACTGGGTAATGTAAAAAAAATTCACAGTTGTGACTAGATGGTGTTGCTGTCTATATACCTTGCAACACTAATTCGATCATGTTCATAACATAAACATGATCACATTTTTTTAAGGGCAATTGAGTTATGCGTACCATTTTCAAACCGAATCATTACAGGCAATGAACAATGTATATATATTATATATGAGAATATCTAATACCTGCGATCATAGTCAAAGGCCATTTACCCTTCACAAACGACTTCACAGTTTTTATTAACTGCAAACAAGCCTATGTTGAGTGTTTGATGGAAATAACAGTTTTATAACATGACGAGATATTACAGTCTAGTGTAGCTCTAATCCTCTACTGCTCACATTTCGATCTCTTAAATGAATCAAGAACAAGCACCCATAGTTAGCCAACAGAAAAGGAAATGTGTTCCAACACGACCACGTTAGAATATTGTCATGACAAAAATATGAAAGTCACCCACATCGTCACCCACTTTTAAGATTCGGAAGAAACTGACGGAAGTTGGTTGTAAAACTTTTGATACATTCTACTATGACTACTATATGTTTCGGTCTCAGCAAAATTCGATTTATTATTTGTATTCAAATGGGCTTTGGTGTGTCTGGCCGCCACTCCAACTGTAATGATCCCTAAATTATACATTACAAGTGTCGTGTCTGGTATGGAAAATCATATTGCCCATTTAATATCATCTAAACGAAAACTCAAGAAATGTGAAGATTGCACTTTAATTTCAAGTCTCAGTCAGGAAGGTTGTTTCTGAACAATTTTTTTTGATGAGAACTACTGAGATATGCATAATAATAACGTTTCATTCACTTGCAGTGATTATAAAAATATAACTCAACTTGAAGTTGAACTTTACTACGATGAATTATCAAGATAAATACAAGCTTTAATATTACTAATCTATTCTCTAGTTGAATTGTTATAATTTAACCAATATATTGAAATTTTTATTGAAATCAAGGCTACTTACTTACTACAAAAGTGAAGTAATGAAGTTAAAAGTAATCCTAAATAATTTTTTAAAAAGTAGCACTTCAAAGCACACAGGACTCTCCAAAAATAGGTTTTTGCGATGACGTTATATGTTAGAAATTACAAGTTTTTCAACTGATATTTCGTCAAAATTTCATAATGTTTAGACAGAGAGAAAATAAAATGTTTTGTCAAAATAATCAATTGTTATCCACTGTAGTCTCGTCAAAACTTATAATGTTGGGAACGAAAAAAAAATATTATTATATACAAGGTGCAATTTGTTTGTTTTACTTACTTAACTGACGCTAACTAACAATTAAGTCTAGCTTTTGGTCTGACATACCAAGCCTGTGCTCCATACGTACTTTTTGTAGCATCGTTGATTAGTGATTAGTGCTGCTACAACTTAAGCACTATACTAATGACACCACTTCTTTATCATCTTTCTCAAAACGCCGCAGCAAACTCATATATTCTTGAAGCAACGACTTTCATTATAACGCAGCTTTACCAGTGAAGATGATGAATATGAATTTGCTAAACAAAGACATTGTTGCATTAAAGTTGATATATCTCATGATTCATGCGGATATGGTAGTCAACGCCAACTTGTAGAAAACTAAAGATAATACCAAGAAGTTTACTCTCGAACATTCCCATATATCGTTCTGCGCCTATTCTTCTACCCCTCCATACAACCGTTTATCTAAAATAAACAACCTAGAGAAAGTAAGGTCGAGAGAGAGAGAGAGAGAGAGAAAGCAGTACGCACTGTGTTGTCCGTTTATTTTATTGGTTCATATGAAGAAATTCATTGTCTTGAAAGCTTCTTTAACTCAGTTGTGAATTAACTGATTTTAAGTAATAAAAAAAATCAAAAATCAGTTTCGTGGTCATTATCGATAATTTCTACCCGAAAGAGTTTAATTAGAACCGCGATCGAAGGGCACTACTGCGTTAAAAAATTTATTTCATTGTAAATAGTCGCATATGTTGGGGTAGATATATGTTATAATGTAAAATATACAACTTCAACAGTAATTTCTATAAATTTCCATTACCACAGCTGCGTCGCTCTTGTTTGTTGACATATCCAGCTACTAAAAGATAAACCTCATTACAAAATAAAAATTTAATCCGTAAAACAACTACGACAAAATCGTTAGTTTTGTAGTACGATTTTACAATTTTAACACATTAAACAAAGGATCTATAAAGGATTTATATTATGAAAGCGCAAATCATGTACTATATATATAATATAAGAGATTTGTCTATTACGACATGCTTTAGTCTTACCTCGATTCGTTACTGTTCAATGAAAGGTGACAAGAACTCTTCAACAGGAAAGGAGTTGTGTGCCATCATTATAATACCAGATCATCTCTAATGAGTGGGAACTAATTCCCAGAACTTGTTTGAAACGTATTGATACATGCACTACATAACGCGAACATTGTATCATGACTACTATTTGTCTCGGTCTCTGCAAAACTCTCAGAGTTTTAAAATTAGTTGACCGAAGTGTTGCTAAAAATAACTTAGTCAAGTCTTTCGCTGACAACCATAAAAGTTCTACACCGATGGAATTGTTATACATTATTATTATTATTATTATTAAATATTAGTCTATGGTATGAATGCACCCCGACCTAAAAGATCTATTGCGTGTCTAAGGCCTCACTAAAATAATTCTAGATTATTTGTAAATATTGTAATTGTTGTGGGCTTGATTTTACCTATTTCATTTGGGACGAAGATCCCGCTTTCAAGGTAGTTTAGTCTACGTCTTGCCGCTGCTGGACAGTTGTATAGAATATACTCCAATGTTTCCTCCTCCTTGTAATGGAGTCGATAGGTATCACTTTTTACCACACCTAAATTCGACATGTGGTAATTGAGTCTATAGTGTCCTATAAGAAGTTCAGTGTTGATTTTAATATCGTTTCTGCTAAGGTTAAGAATACCGTCAACTTTGATGTGTTCAGGATCAATGAATCTTCTTGACTTGTAAATAATAATGACCAATATATACTTAATTAATATTGAGTTTCAGAGAACAAGAGAACATTTTTGTTAAACAATATTTGAAAAAAACAGGGATAGCTTTGTATCATACAATATATAATACCATTTATTATAAAAAAACATATATGTATATAACTATATATATATATTTCATATAATATCTTCGAGATTCTATTAATGAATAGTTTTTGGTTGAAATTTTTTTTCAGTGTATGTTTAATAATGTATTTTAATAATTATTTTTTAATTAACTGTAACTTCTCTTCAATTTTCTTTAATAATAAAAACTTTGTGTTTTAAGGAGTGATACTAAGCGTTAGTGTATATTATTTAATTGTTCATTAATTGTTCATGTATATTATATTATAAAGAATAGTAACCTCCTCTACATATATTTACATATGTTTATTATACTTATACAATGTTGTACTTTAAATAATAAATTTTATATATTATTTATTTATTTAATATGGAATGCATTTTCACTTTTGAAGTTTGCGTGACTTTTGCTATAAAATGAAAATTGCAACGCAGAACGCCTTCGATGTATTTACCGCTATCTGAGATACCAAATGAAATTTATAAAAATAAAAAAAATATTTTATAAAAAAAATATATGCAATGCAAAATGTTAGCATAAAACATATAAAAACAGAAAAAAATTAAAATCAAAAACATATTTAATAAAAAATTCATATTCATGAAAATTTTCCACTCTCAATAACAGAGAAAAACCCTTTTGACGTTCACAACTCAACTATCCGTCAACGCATCGGTTTGGAGTGTGGCGTTCGTTCTACTCGCTGCCGTTTGTATTCATTGGCTTTTGTGAAAATTACAACGTTTACGTCAGCGCTAGCGTCGCGTCGCCGATGATAAATGCGATAAGAAACTAATTTTACAATTGAGCGAAAGAGAGAAGTGTAGGAATTTTTAATTAGTTATGAACGACAGTTGCGCCTTGATATGAATTCATAAAATTAATATACAAATATGCATTAAATATTTAAAGATATGTGTATATATGTATGTGTATGCGTTTGTGTGCTTGTGTATATTTGTAGATTTGTGTCCGTCTGTATGTCTGTCTTGCTTTTGTGACTGCAGTAACATATTATCACTGAGCGCTGCATGCCGCACGCAGCAAGTGTCCAACAAAATATTGAAAAAAGAAATTTGCATGTTTCAAACAAAAGCGAAGAGGGGGCAAAAGGATAATTTCGTATTGAGTTTTATTGTTGTTGCATTGTTTTTTTTTTCAGTTTTTGCATTTAATAACCTACACAAAACAAAAATTGTTAAGTGTGTGATAAATGTTTACTTTAAGGGCGCATTAATTTTATGCATTAAATTAATGGGCTTCCGTTGCGCCCGCTAAACTTTAAAATTGAATTTTTTTTCTTAAAAATCTTTTGTTCACTAAAATTATGAGAACAAATTATATATGTATATATTTTTTTATATTAATTTATAATAATAATTTCGTTTTTAAACGAGCTAATTGGTCAATAGTTAAATAAACAACTTTTTAAAAAATTTTTTAAAAA